TTCAGTCGGCAGGAAGGGGAATAGCGGGGAAGATAAAGCCAAAAGTAGCAAACCACTTTACGAAAACTTTTACCCTTATAATAAATGCCGGTAGAATAGGTGAATTTGAAAATAATTATTGAAGACATTTAGAGAATTAGCTTTTTATGTGCTTGAAAGAAGGCCAGAGTTGTCTGTCTGCCACTCCCCTCTTACACCATGAAGCGAAATGTTTGTTCCGCGGCTAGACTGACAAGATGGTGAATAATTGGAATACTCGATCACACGAAAGTGCACTGTGGACTAGTCATCTGGCTTCTGAGTCGAATTCCCCACCAACACAAAGTCCTAGTCGTCTTTTGATCCTGGACCCCAGTGATGATAGCAACATTTATGCGGACGAACACTTTGAGAGTCGAGAAAACAAAACGATGGTTTATTTTTGTCCGGTAAGTAAAGTGAATTTGTGCTGAGAAGTCTAGAAGCACTGTACACCAGTTTCATACTTATTGAGAATCATCAGCAGTGAACATCTCAAGTAGCTCCAGGGGTTTCGAACCCATGATCTTGAGGCTAGTAGTTTAAACACCTAACCGTTTGACCAGTAGCGGTCGATCATTTGTGTTAATATTGCGTACATAGGATAAAATGCCTTCCATTCTTTAACCAAACAATTTACACTGACGGATTTCACTGAATTCTCTCAAGTAACCAGTCAATAGCTGGCAGCGTGATGTGTGGTTTAACTAATGACCAGCATAAACTTTCGTATTTGGAGCAGGTGTAGCCATCCGTAAAATTAAGTAAAATACTCACCCCTTGGCTGTACGGTATCATTGTAGTACAAGAAATCAAGAGGCAGATTCCGATCATTCCAATATTTGATACCAGGAAAGCTTGGAAGTTTTTTCTTCGAATTTTCAAGTAGATGCTGAACTCGGTTAGAGTCCACTGCTATTCTGTCTGGAGCTGGTGTCAAATTTTCTTTCTTACCCTCAGGAATTTGAGTTCCTGCATCTAGAAAGTAAAAATATGGATGAACGGCGCTTTAACTGACCGTCAAAAGAGACCGATGCTTGGCACGTGCATACTTTTCTAAAAACTTGAGAGCAAGGCGATAAGCTTTAAAAATAGCTGGTTAATAAGTCGTAAATTATTTCAACAGACAGCTGCTCTCAAAACCATTACAAGCTTCCCACAGTGAACCGCAGTTTTCCAGCTTTCGAAGCATCAAAACAACCTCTTAAGTAGTGCAACAAATTGCCATTGACTACCATATTTAACGTATGTGTGCTTTTCTTCTCTAATCTAGCAAATCTGTCAGTCAGTTTTTGTGTGTTGACAGCAATTCTTACCTCCAGGCAACAGTAGTAAAATTGGGGTCGGTAGAGCTGAAGCTCCAAACAGTTGACCAGCTAGAGATATGAAAGAATACCGCATCGACTTGTTCGCTGAGCTGTGCAGTTTGATTGCAAAGCAAGGAAGCATCAACAGTGCGTCGCTGGGGAGCGTAATGGTGCGTAGCGCGCGAGTGCACGGATGATGTCACCTCGATTGGTGATGAAACGTTTGCAATCAAACTGCCCAGCTCAGTGAACAAGCCAATGACCATCAATGTCCACTCTCTCTCTGTTCAGATACGAATCTGTCGGCAAGAAATAATGGTGCGAACGCTAGAAGGCAACCAAAACCTCTGTGTTCAAATTGTTGCTGGTGACAACCTTGTCGATTTAAAGTACGCAAACGACGTCACTCTCACCTTTGACAATGAAGCCCAAACACAAGCTCTGTTGAACAAACTGACAACCATCATACCAATCACTGACAGACCGCAAAGTGCAAATCCTCTGAACTAATCCCCACAGTTCGAGGAGAATCACCGGAGGTTGTGGAGAATTCTACATACCTCGGTATTTGCAATACCTCTGACAGAAGTGTGCTAGTGAAGTCATTGCACGAATCTCAAAGGCCAGAATCACTTTTGGTAATTCGCTTCACTTGCGGCGTCAAAAAGATATATCACTGGGTCACAGTATGCGCATGTACCAAGGTACGATCAGGGCTATATTACTGTATGGTTATGAAGCCTGGCTTCGGCGGACAGGTGATGTGAAACGTGATCAGGTTTTGACCACTGATGCCTCAGAAGCGTTGCTAGTATCGTATGGCTTCAAGGAATTCCTAATGAGACTATTAGAAAACAGGTATTCGTGTAGCAAGTAATTGATTCGCTAAAAAAATTCGTCGACTAAGGTGGTTCGGTCATGTGCTACACATGCCGAAACACCGTTCACTGAGATGATTGTTGTTCTCCATGCCTCCTCCAGAATGGGATACGAAAGATATTGCAAATTCACATGCTGTCCGTGCGGTCCCTTTCTGGGATGGAGGCCCCGTGACCCTACCTGCGCTGCGACGTTGCAAGAAACGGCGGCTGAACGATGTGAGTGGCCTTTGTGCTGACGGTTTCTTTTCAGACTATCTTATTAAACGTTTGGAGGTGTAGGCACCTAGGAATGATTGCGATAGACCAGCACCAAGTCCACACCATCACTCGATTTCTTCATTCTAAGGCTTCAAATTTAATTGGATAGATTCTGTGGTTGTATGATAGTGAGGCCACTGTGTCAAAAATGAATTAGCTGGCTCCGAGGATGATGATGATAATTGTACCCGAGGTTCCAGAGAATAGGGCCCGATCCTTTTAGAGGCGAAGCAGCAGATCGTCGGATATACTGGTCATATTTCATGATGCATTGACGGTCACTGTTACTGTTGAATGATCAGAATCTGCCAACATTTTCTAACCGTCCTTTCCAGTAGGAATACGGTGTCGTGTTCCCAATATGTATGCAAAAACGCTTTCTTCGCTCCAATCGCAACGCACAATGTGACTTTACACAAGAAGCGAGCGGTCGCCGGGCCTAATCAGTTTGCTTTAGTTTGGCCTTTCTAAAGACTAAACTCAAAGAATCAAAAGTCCCTCTCAACATATATTTTTCAGATTCTTTAAGCCACACAAGCCTTACCGCTGCGACAATATCAACATCTCTGAGTCGGTATACATATATATATATATATATATATATATATATATCAGGAAACTAACCTTCACCCGTAGGCTTTTCTACGTCCACTTTGCTAGTAAGATCCAGTGCGCCAGAAGAATCAAGTTCAATTACTACGTTGTTTGGGCAGGGGCCCTGTATTTTGAAAAAAAAACAAGGAGTTCAGCATTATGTCCTAAATAGTGATATATATGTTAGTACCAAAGCTCTCTGGAGGCACTCTCGTTTTTTCCCTAGAAGCACGGTACAGCCCCCGAGTAGTCTAAATACACATAAAAGATAATTGTGAAGTTGCAACTTTTCGAGGTATTCTTCAGATAATGTGCATATGTATGAGGCCTGCACTTTCACAAAAGTTGCCTTTTTCGCACCATTCAGTAGTTAGCAACAGTTTCCTAACTACAGCTAGTCTGGCCTGATTTGTGCACCGTTGGTTGCTCCTGTAAACTGTCCTAAACGATACCACTACTTGTCGCAAGGATAGGCAAAACACACTGTATTATGAAGAAAATATCGGGGATGTATGCTTGTCCAATGTCAAATTTAGCTCAGCAACGTAATTAGACAAATAAAAAAATATACCCTGTATCAGCAACTCTGTGTCAGAGGGGAGTGGAAAGACTGGTATTTTCTATGTACGAGTAGAACTAGGATGTAGGTAAGTAACAAATACCATGTCAAATTCTAAGAGTAAAAGGGGATGGTCGATAAGTTTTCCCTCTGATAAAACTTGAGTGCACCAACCGCGTATTTTCCCTTTAAAAATTGCAAACACTGTAATTGATCTGGAAAGTCTAAAGCCTCGAAATATTAATGTGGCACCCACTGTACAATAAAAAGCCGTCACAACTGGGAAATACAAGAGTGTAATTTTAAGTGGAAAATGATACCACTGAATAAAGCTGACTGTGGCAAAGAGCTGACGGATTATTCGTGTTGACACACTCAAACCCTCAATCTAAGACACGGTCGTTTGTTGTACAGGGACTTATTTAAAGCCGCAAGACCTAATGCTACCCCATCGTTGTGGTTGCCTTGCAAGATAGCCGGCACATCGCAGTAGGACGGATGATTTTTTAATAGTGAACCAAACCATGTGATGGACAATCGTCAACCACCTAGCAGCAAAAATAAATATCAGCCAAAGAAGTTACGCTTTGACAAGACCGGTCCATATGCAAACCAGTTCTGAACGTATGAATAAACGCAGAAGCGGCACCTTGTTGCGACTTTCCCGGAAAATATTACACAATTAAAGGCAGTACTATGCCAAACTTCACATTCCCTAACCGAATACAAGTGAGACCTAGTCGAAATCTTTTAAGACATAACAAATAGGTGAATAGCCTTTTGATGCTTAGCTGTCACGGAGGGAGCACAAGATCGGAGATAATGTCAGCCCAGATAGTGCACAGCCTTGAATGAGTCAAGATGCTGAAGTTATGTTCGAATCACAAACCTTCCGGTGGGTGCTGTCACACCTATAACCATGGAGCTATCTTAATCCCATCTTTTATTATACGAACGACTGTGTCCAAAAAAGCCACTGCTAGTATACAAATGTGTACAATCGATTGGGATAGAGAATCAGTACTGTAAAGGTGTCAGTCAAGCAAGTCAATATGTACACGCATAAAGTAATGAGGTGCAATTTTCGTCCTGAAACCTCAAAGGCAAAGAAGACAACATTGATTTCAACAGACACACACTTGTTCAAGAAGAAAGCGTAGACCTTCCTTGCTGCGGAAATAATTAGGAATATCTATATTTTTCAAAGCTTCTCGATTTTTCGCTGCTCGTTGTAATTCCTTTTTCAGCGCTTCGCATGCTGCTTTTCTGGCTGGATTTTGTACTCCTTGTTTTGTGAATCCATTTTCAATTTTCTTTTTGCTGGCTTCTGAAAACGAAACAACGGTACAGAATTACGATTTTGCAAATGCCTATGTGATGCCGGTAAGGCTTTGACTCCTGTGAATATTACTGCATAATTTACGATACGTAGGTTCAACACACCACTCACAAGATGAAGAGAATCACCATAAAAGTGAGATTCAGCTGGACACACTTGGGTCTTCTGCAGGACACAAAATGGTTGTGCAAATGTAAGTACATAAAGAACATACGATGGCTTCCAATCATTCGGGATGGCCGCGTTTTGTAGTGCAGCCTTAGACCGTGATATTCTTAACATTTAGCTTTCTTCCAAATGATAGAATGTAAAACCGGTGGGTGTTTTAAGAACTTCCCAGTTTGACTATTTAGTAAACGAAAGCGCTACTGGATACCCCAGAACTACAAGCTCAGAGGACTGTGTCTTGTTTTGCCGAGTTTCTGCCTGCTGATACGAGTGCTATTTTTCTTCCCTAATCATGAGTGACAGAAACCCGGAGGTGGACGAATAGGACGTGGAAGAAGGAGAGAAAGTGTGTTATTGAACGTTTGAGTTCCATTGATGTTTGCCTTTCAGAATGTGGTCTATTTGACCTTCATTGTGCATGGCTGGAGACAATGAATGATATGGCGGCTAACCGTTGAGTTGACGAGTGGTGTTCATTCTGTCAATTTCTATTCAGATTGTTTGACCGTGTACTTGAGGTATAGATACCTCGGATATTTGTGATAAGCCAGGTCACGATCTCCTCTGCCCACCCCATTTCTTCGGTGAAACGGTGGTGAAACATCAGTGTTCTCTGGTGATGGTGACGATAAAAGTGTAATAATTTCTGCTCGTACTCTGATCAAAGTTTCATAAGGAATCTGGGTCATCAGATGAGTATAGACAGAGAACTCAACAAGATGTATAGGAACTAAGTTCATTAAGCATTGTCTAAATAGAGAATCAAGTGACATTGACTGATGATTGAATGAAATCTCAACTCAGATACCATATTTAGTTATTTCGTTGTACGCTCAGTCAGCTAAACAGAAGCACCCGAAGTTGGGGAGAAGACACTGGGTGGATTGGAACACAGACCTATCCATTTTAATTGATTTAAAGTGATGTTACGGTTGCGCAAAAACGAGTGTTCTCGGAAAATATCGGTATCTGCTTCCAAACGGTGCACTAAATTATCCTTTGTGCCGCGTTACTGCTCAAGTGTTTATATACGCTCAAACCAAGGTTTTGCTAAATAATGGCTTCCGGTCGCCAGATATTCTGCATTATTGTTAAACTTTGTAGTTCTGAAAAGCCCGGCAAGCTCAAGATGATTTTCTTGTTCATCATTCGAGGCTATTTTAAGTGGACACAATCAACCATAACTGACCGTTTTACACAGGTGGATTGTCCAAGAGATGAACCGGGTCAGGATACCCTGAAAATTAACGTGAATTAATGACCACAGAAAAGCTGTTGAACATTGACACTATTAGACAGGCCGCACCAAAAGTTGTCACACCAAGTGTACAATCAATACAGGATATTTCTTAGCTACGCAAATAAAGTCTAACTTCTGTCAAGAATGAAATTCACAGACTACTCCCAGACTAGGGGAAGAAGTGGAGCTAAACATACGAGATTGCAACGTTACCTCGAGGATGAAATTCGAAAATTGGCTTTGTTATATACTTTAACAGTGATTCGTCTCTCCTGGTTTCGGGAGCGCGAGTAGTTTGAAACGCGATCCATTGTGTTGCACGGTTCAGTGTGTGTTCGGTATATGCCCGAAGCACCTCAAACAGCCTGAAATAACAGATTATTTGATGAGAATAATGATAGTATAGGTAGTCTGTGACACGCATTATGTCTAACCTGACCTGTAAACAAAATTATATATACACATATACTCACTTGAATATTCCCATATAAAACGACGCCTGGGGTTTAGCTTTCGGAAACGGGACGCTAACAGACAGTTGCTGCTACTAGTTAGTAGCTCAAAATCACTTGCTTGAAGTGACACACTGCTTGGTATGGTTTCACTTCGAGTTTTTTCTTCTGTATTCTTTAGTAGGTGAAAATGTGCACATACTAAGCATGTTAATTAGCATTTTTCCCTTAAAATCAAACGGATTGGCGTTTCCCTTAGTGTGAATTAGCACTGTACAAATATTTTGTGGCGGACTCAAGATTGGAGACCAATACGTTTCATTATCAACACTTGACAATACGTCGACAACCTGCAAGGATTGGAAATTAATGTGACGTGATTTTAAGCTGAAAAACAACTTCATTGATGACGTAATCTCGGCAAGCTGGTAGGACGAGCAGACGGCTTTATAAAGTCTAAGAGGTCATATCTTCCCCCAGAAAAAGTTTCGTTAAATGCAGTTAAAAAAACGACAGAACTCTTGCTAGAAGAATAGATGTGTTACAAAAGAATATGAATAATATATAAAGGAAAGTGTTGCTCACTTACATGCAACAACTCATACACAAATGAAACCATTCTTGCAAACGCTCGATCATCTGTCATTAATGGGTGATTGTGTAGGACATCACTTTTCCTTCCAATTGTGTGCAACTGTCTACAGCCGACAAGTACGAAAACTAACTGCACTGGGGGGGTTATATGTCGTTGTTCTGTTCCAAGGAAACCGCTTATTATTATTCTCGACTGCCTTAGCCACAACCATCAGTAGAAAAAATCCTGTTAACGAAGCGATTGTGATAATTTCGTGATCCTGGAAAAATCCACATGGACCGCAGTAAACGTGCAATTTTTCTGTCCAAGTCGGATATTATTGAAGATATGCGCCAAAAACGACAGCACTAAATGAATTTTTTGTGCTCTGTTAGAACATTTGTTAGGACCTAAACAATCTCAAGCGCACTCGGCCCTGGAAAGTGGGTTTTTAATGTAATTTCACATTTGACGGAGTGCAAGTAGTGATTCACAGCGCTGAACAGTTTTCAATGTCAAAATGCACCCATTTACAAACCAAATTGGTTTTGGCGAGACACTCACCTGGAACCCAACTAAATCATTTGCTTATGATGTTCTTGATCAACTGAGTGTGATGCACCAGCCCGCTTCTTGTTTCAGTTGGTACGATATTCGATATATGGCAATACATCTTATTGATATAATGTACTACTTACAAGGTCTGTTGCGATAGATTTTTCTGACCACTCAATAAGCCAGTGTCACCCAGCTTGACAACTCACTGGATAGCAGTTTCATTCACCACAGAAATGCTTTATCTATTTAGACCAGTATCACTCAAGCTGAAGAAGTTTTTATACGGAGGGACAGGAGGAGTCAGACGACAAATATGAGCCCCAAGTTCAATGACACAAACTCATCATCATCATCATCATCATCATCATCATCGACAGCATGACATCAGTGTTGAACACCGATGCTTCACTGCCTTACAACCATGACTTATTTGAAAGCCTTATTATTCTGATTTTTTGATACAAATAGTGATTCGTTTTTAAGCTTGTTGTTTATTACCCACTAGCTACTTTGCGGTTTATGGATGCCGGCAGTGAAAAAGCCTTTTATTCTGGTAGCAGCTTGGTGGAACTCTTCACAGATAGAAGGCTGAGAAGAACATCCGACTGAACAATCGACTGTGTTACCAGATTACGACTGCGTATGCGGCGCATTAGATCCAAATACACACACAGTAAATGTGCATGTTCAAGCAATCGAAAACCCATCAACATCCAAAAATGTTCTCAACAACCTAACATGGGACTGGGGAAAAATTACGGTACCAGACATACCCCCACATTATTCCACGTAAAACAGGAACGACAGGAAATTGGCCGCCGCAAAGAAGTAGGATTATTCCACGATGTCATCCCATCCAACAAGACTTTGATGAAATTCCCGTCTTTTTAAGACCTTTATTCACCTCACTTTACCTGTGTAACGGTGATACTACTGATGAGAGGGCATGCGGGTAGTATGTCTCCTCGAAAATCCGCTTTGCGTTTCTTGAAAACTGAGATCTCTTAGGGAATTTGTGTAGTCAATCTGTAGCATTTGCTTGCAAGTGAGTACTGGTCACTGAATATCCAGGAAAGTTCAGGAAGATGCGTTCAAGGAGAAGATGGATATTCAGTTTTTCGAACAAGATGAATATGAGAGTTTTGCTCCCTTGTCCAATAGTCTGTAATTGTTCAGTTGGCATTTTCTAATAACTAACTCCGCAGCGATGGCCTTCTTCCTTTCACCTGTAGTGATTTAGTGGACAACATTTTGTTTGACTATTCACCATTTGTGTTCCATTTCAACCCCTAATTCATTTTTTGTGCCATGGGTGTTCACACATTTAAACAACCGCTGTTCTGGTAAACACCCGGTCAGACGATCGTCAAGACCATGAGTAGTTTAAATTATTCTTGTACGAAATGTAACAGAATCAAACTTTGTGTGAAGCTGCACGCTCACCATCCCTCTTCTGTCGACCGGTAAACAAGACAGCTGATCAGAAATTCGGAGTTGCCGATTTTAGACTACAATTGATTTTTCCTGTATCGATTTATCATCTGAAATATTTCCATGTCCGACCCATTGAAATGGAACTTTTCCTAATCATGTGACATTGCTCCGTCAGGTGATCTCAAATTCCGTTCAAGGTGAATTGAGCATGTTTCAGCAAACTAAACTTTTTGATGTCATCTTCGTTGGTGATGTGTGGTGCACTATGCGTCTTGTGTGCTCTTTTTGGGCTTAGGCTGAGCAGAAAAACAGAATCTGAAAGCCATTCAAGATTGCAAGCTGGTGGATGGGAAACACCTGGAAAACACATCATGCAGATTTAGGTCTTGTTTAATCATGTGATGACCTGGCCATTACGCTGTTTGTCGAAAACCGTTGAGGTTTGCAATTTTGTATTCCGTGTAACTACTTTCATTTTTACAGTACAGCACATTTGCGTAGCCATTCGTTCGGAGCTTTGCCGGTTTGGTTGCTAACCGTGGTGCTCGTTGTTCAAGAAATCGAAACGGTCGTTACAGCTCTATCGTACTGAACAAGTTTTCCACAAGAACATGAGTCCATCATCCGAGAGACTAAGTGCGCACCCTCAGGACGAATTTTATTCCACCTAACAGCGGAGGTGAACCCTCTAGCTCACAATCTCCCAACCAGGCCTTTGATAAGATCAGCATAGGCCGAATGCCAAAGAGGTGTAGTCATTTTTGGAACTCAAAAAGTTCATTGCAGTAACCCCTGGTACAATACAGACAATACGAACAATACAATGAACTGTCTGCCATGATGATCACCAAAATCAGTAAGACACGCTTCGGAGGTTTCCATTACTGTGTGATCCTATACGTGTTTTATATTTTCCCATAAGTAGATGATAGAATCTGCCTCGTTGAATGTAGTGATTTAGTGGACAACATTTTGTTTGACTATTCACCATTTGTGTTCCATTTCAACCCCTAATTCATTTTTTGTGCCATGGGTGTTCACACATTTAAACAACCGCTGTTCTGGTAAACACCCGGTCAGACGATCGTCAAGACCATGAGTAGTTTAAATTATTCTTGTACGAAATGTAACAGAATCAAACTATGTGTGAAGCTGCACGCTCACCATCCCTCTTCTGTCGACCGGTAAACAAGACAGCTGATCAGAAATTCGGAGTTGCCGATTTTAGACTACAATTGATTTTTCCTGTATCGATTTATCATCTGAAATATTTCCATGTCCGACCCATTGAAATGGAACTTTTCCTAATCATGTGACATTGCTCCGTCAGGTGATCTCAAATTCCGTTCAAGGTGAATTGAGCATGTTTCAGCAAACTAAACTTTTTGATGTCATCTTCGTTGGTGATGTGTGGTGCACTATGCGTCTTGTGTGCTCTTTTTGGGCTTAGGCTGAGCAGAAAAACAGAATCTGAAAGCCATTCAAGATTGCAAGCTGGTGGATGGGAAACACCTGGAAAACACATCATGCAGATTTAGGTCTTGTTTAATCATGTGATGACCTGGCCATTACGCTGTTTGTCGAAAACCGTTGAGGTTTGCAATTTTGTATTCCGTGTAACTACTTTCATTTTTACAGTACAGCACATTTGCGTAGCCGTTCGTCCGGAGTTTTGCCGGTTTGGTTGCCAACCTTGGTGCTCGTTGCTCAAGAATTCGAAACGGTCGTTACAACCACAACGCAACGAGGATCACAAACGGACCAATAGATTCACTAGACTCGTTACACTTCAGGTAGCCAATCACGTCAGAAGATAACAGATAGCCTTTGACTGCTATATAAACACACGCGGGCAAGGAAGAAGTACCCACCCAACTGCGCACTGACGGTGTCTCCTCTTATGGTGATGAAACGTTTGCAAGCCAATTGCCAAGCTCGGCGAACAGATCAACAGCCATCTGATCGACAACCAATAAACTCACACGAGCTACCAATATTTCACCACATTTCCAACTACTTCGGGCGTTCCACGCTCAAAACAGCCCGTCGATGGGAGACTATCGCCTGCCGATAAGCCTCCACACGACAACAGCTCTACTTCCTCCATGAATGCCTGCGGAAACACGTCCTTCCACGTAGCGTAACCTACCGACCACCAATAAACCATCAACAAGTTTGGATAATAGCTTGACAGAATGGCTGACGAATGGTCAGACTCAGGATTACAGAGACTCACAACCGCATTAGGAAATACGAGAGAATAGCCAACGAACATAGGAAGGCCTGCTTGAGGACAATAGGACCAGATCTCATGGAGCAACTCAGCATGGCGGTAGAATGAAGAGTTTCATCTACTGCTAAAAACAAGAAGGCTCACCTAGATGGCAAACCTGGAGTATTTAGCCAGCCTGGAAGCAGCAATGAAATCTATTGGACTCGAAGAAAACGCACAGCAGCTACTTCGTCAAACTGTCGTCCCAGCCATCACACGCAACAAACCACTCAACGTGCTTTCCGGCAAAGAAAAAGAAGCAATGAACAAGTTGAAGAAGGATGAAAACATCGTGATTCTGCCGGCAGACAAGGGACG